GATACTTTCATGGGAAACATGGCAATATAGTGCCTGGAAGTTGAGAGAAAAGAAAGTTTAATTTTAGTCACTGCTCTTTAAGCAAAACGTTTTGAGAGAACTGTATGTCAGAAGCTCCAAAGAGGGACATGGAGCATGTAAGTTATTTCGTATCAGAACTAGCCCACCCCTGCCACAGGAAATTGTTGCACAAAAGGTAGGGATGGACAGATCACTCGGTTTCTGATCCACCCAGGTGCTGGGTTTGACCTAGAAAGTAGGGTTGCCATATTTCAGTTCGGACGCAAAAGATGTTAAGGATTTTTGGGCAAAGTTACTGAATTATTATTCTTATTTTGCCAAAGTTGTTTTTAGTTTTATCCACATTTGTTGAGCTTTTTTTGCAGTACACTGGTACCTCGGGTTACATACGCTTCAGGTTACATACGCTTCAGGTTACATACGCTTCAGGTTACAGGCTCCGCTAACCCATAAATATTACCTCGGATTAAGAACTTTGCTTCAGGATGAGAACAGAAATCGTGCGGCAGCAGCGGGAGGCCCCATTAGCTAAAGTGGTGCTTCAGGTTAAGAACAGTTTCAGGTTAAGAACGGACCTCCAGAACGAATTAAGTACTTAACCCGAGGTACCACTGTATCGCTATATTTTGATAAAATTCTGAGGATGTAGGTTGCAGATTTTCCCATGCATTTACCCGGTTTCTTCCCGGAAACTGTTTCCAAAAGTTGAATCCTGCTTATGTCCAGGAACTTCTGGACATATGGCAACCCTACTACTGTGGTACCTCAGGTTAAGAACTTAATTCGTCCTGGAGGTCCATTCTTAACCTGAAACTGTTCTTAACCTGAGGTACCACTTTAGCTAATGGGGCCTCCCAATGCTGCTGCGCCGCCACCGTGCGATTTCTGTTCTCATCCTGAAGCAAAGTTCTTAACCCAAGGTACTATTACTGGGTTAGCGGAGTCTGTAACCTGAAGCGTCTGCAACCTGAGGTACCACTGTATAAAGCTCTTCACGGCTTAGGATTCCACTATCTTCTGGAGCCCCTCTCACAAAATAAACTTACCCAGACACTTTGATCTTTGATCAGCCCGGATAGCTCAGTTGGTTGGAGCATAATTCTGATAATGCCAAGGTTGCAGGTTTGATTCCCATATGGGACAGCAACACATTCCTGCATTGCAGAGAGCTGGAGTAGACCAGGCTTCCTCAAACTCCAGATGTTTTGAGACTACAATTCCCATCATCCCTGACCACTGGTCCTGCTAGCTAGGGATCATGGGAGTTGTAGGCCAAAAACATCTGGAGGACTGAGTTTGAGGAAGCCTGGACTAGACAATCCTCAGGGCCCCTTCCAACTCTATGATTCTTATGAAGCCATCCATCAGAGGTCTCCCCTCTGACAGAGGTTCAGAGGGCAAAGGTGAGCCAGAGACTTCTGTGCTGACGTTTAAATAAATGCCTGCTGAAAACGTTTCTATTCTGCCAGGCCTATGCAGGCAAATAAGAATAAATCCCCCACAATGGCCTATTGGTGTTTTTTTAATCATTATTCTTTTGCTTTTAACTTTTTATGGTTTATAGTTTTTATATTCTTGTAAACCACTCTAATATATATTTATGATACAGCGGTATATAAATATATGTTTTTAATAAAAGAATAAAGGTCAGGGGATTTCAACAGGAGGTTACAGGATATGCACTGATTAGAAATGAAGCAATGTGGCTGCTGCCGCGCCCCCCCCCCTTTTTGTAAAACAAAATCAGGTTTGAAAGCAGAATCGCATGCAGCCCCTCTGATAGCATCATAAGCAGAAATGCTCACTAATGCACAAGGAAAAGCATGCATTCGAATACCAGAAACGGGCCCTTGTCAAACCCCTCCTTTCCTAAAACACTTGCCCTGAAAATTCTGCATTGAACAGTAATGAAACTCTTATTTTAAACTCTTATTTGAGCACTGGTCACTGACTACTATAATAATGAGGAAAGTGTACCATTTTGAAGAGTTTAGAGGGAAAAACAATACCCACTGAGTAAAAGAAACCTTTCAAAGTTCTGAGGAGTGAATGAAAAAGTGAGGGAGAAAGCAGAAAAATGTGCTTGAAGGTACATGAGGGTTTTAAAAGCATTGTTGAACCACTTGTCAAGAAGTGTAGTAAAACAGATTTCAAGTCTCTATTTTCCTTTAGCCAACAACCACAAGCCGGAAGCATGCAATGATATCTTGAGTATCTTTGTACAGTATGTAAATATCGCCAGTGTTTGGCCACGCTACAGATAAAACTGTAGTCATTGCCTGCAAGTTTTCAGTGAAGTCTGATGACAAAGGATGATAACGTTTAACTACAGGGAAGCAGCACAAAGATTTGCTGCAGGTCAAATCTGAGATGAGCAGTATTTTATAGAAACCATGTGAGAACCAGTATAACACAGAGCAAGAGAGAAGAGGTGGAATAAACTAGGATTGCCAAATGTCCGGAATTTCCCAAACATAGCTGGCAATTGGTTGTTGGAAACAACTTTTAAAAGCTCTACAACTTTTCTTTCCGGATTTTCACTTTTTGAAATATGGCAACCCAAAATAAACAATAGTCCTGGGAGCAGGGCTCCCCGCCCCCCAGTCGGAACTCACTGGAACTCAGTTCTGGCACCTCTCGGGTGGGCGCCATTGCCATTATAAGAGAACGAGGGAGGCATTCAAGGTGAGTTCCGGCACCTCTTTTTCTAGAAAAAAAATAGCACTGCCTGTGAGGCTTCAGAACCTGGGGCCATCAGCATGGTTGAGAGCAGGGATGGGCCAAGATGTTGTGCTGGCTGAGGTGGAGTAGCAAATGGTACCCCTGAATCGTAAAGGTAAAGGACCCCTGGATGGTTAAGTCCAGTCAAAGGTGACTATGGGGTTGCTGCTCTTGTCACTCTTTCAGGCTAAGGGAGCCAGCGTTTGTCCACAGACAGCTTTCTGGGTCATGTGGCCAGTATGACTAAACCACTTCTGGCACAACAGAACACCGTGATGGAAACCAGAGCGCATGGAAATGCCATTTACCTTCCCGACGCAGTGGTACCTATTTATCTACTTGCACTGGCGTGCTTTCGAACTGCTAGGTGGGCAGGAGGTACCCCTGAACTACATGACAAGGTGCATCATAGGGATGAATGGACCCTTTCCAGGCCATGCCATTTCTGCAAGGAGTTGGGACTAAGTCTGCCCTCATCCCACTTCTGTGCAGATTGGCATCGCACAGCAACTCCACCACTTCCTGCACTCATAATGTTGCACAAAGACAAAGCTCTCACAATACCCATGCATGGGTAATAAATGCATCACGATCAATGTATGACTCCATGGCACCCAACCTAATGCTCATACACTCTCTGCACTGAATGTACCGGTATAACCAAAGAGTCAACAATGCTTTCCCCTTGCACAAGCCTCCAGAGTGATGCAAGTAGGAAAACTTAAATGGGAAGCCCAAAGCTGTCTTAGGTGGAGGTTTAGTAACTGCTATGGCAGCAGGGCACATAAATGTCATAACGTCGCACCCAATATGTTTGTGTTGCTAAGGGGAAATGGGATTTCCCAGGAAGAAGGGAATGTGGGGCTACTTGCATGGGGAATAGCAGAAGTGACAGCAACAAGCAGGAAGTACTGTGAGCTCTCTGGTAATTCAAATGGTGAGGGCAATGCAAAGGAGCGGATGTTGAGTCCCAGCTTTGGAAGATACTGAGGTCTCACTAACTTCTGGTGGTTTTGCTGGGAACAGTGCGTTCAGAAAGAGAGAAGCAATAGGGCCAAAATTCAGATCGCGGCATGTTTTGCAGCAAGAGACACACCTTAGTTGTGAACAGAGGTAATGTGATTGAACTGAGGAGGTGGCAATTAGAGAGATGTTCAAGATACTTGCAAAAGTATCCCAAGAAACAAAGACCAGCCACATGGATTGAATCCAGCTTCCTCTTGTTAGAATGTTTTTGCAAAAGTCCCTTTTAAAGAAGGGAAGGGTGTGTATAGCCTTGTAAATGTAAGTAACGCTTGTAAAAAAGAGAGACACAGGGAAGTATTGATTTACTTTTATAGTGACTTTCTTCATTAATTTATTCTTTAATTAATTGTTATGGTTTAGATGCTAAAGTGTTAGCTCATTACGTTCATGTTATCTGTGGATCTACGTATACTTGGAGTTTCATGGCTTTTTAATAGAACTTTGATAGAAATTAAAAAGAACTTGCATCCAATCTTAACATGACATGAAGTATATTAATGGTATCTTTAAGTGCCACTGATTTCAGTGATCACAGTTTAGCAAATGACAACCCATGAGGCCTATATATTGCAGGGGTCCTACAGAGGGTACAATATGGGCCTTGAAGAGGTGTGGATCTCAAATGTGGAGGAAATTTCCTTTCAAAAAGGTCTGGGCCTCAATGAGAGAGGTAGAAGTTAAAAATAGTGCAAAAATGGCAAAAATGGCATGACTTGCTGATCGGAAGGTCGGCGGTTCGAATCCCCGTGACGGGGTGAGCTCCCGTTGTTCGGTCCCAGCTCCTGCCAACCTAGAAGTTCAAAAGCATGTAAAGTGCAAGTAGATAAATAGGTACCGCTCTGGTGGGAAGGTAAATGGTGTTTCCGTGCGCTGCTCTGGTTCACCAGAAGTGGCTTAGTCATGCTAGCCACATGACCCGGAAGCTGTCTGCGGACAAACGCCAGCTCCCTCGGCCTATAGAGTGAGATGAGCACGCAACCCCAGAGTCGTCTGTGACTGGACCTAATGGTCAGGGGTCTCTTTACCTTTACCTATTATAAGTGGGACATTCTGGGATCAAATCAGAAAGCAGTGTGGCTTCTGTAAATCTGGGACTGTCCCTGGAAAATAGGGGCACATGGAGTGTTTGATTAATAAATACTTTATTGCTATTGGTAAGTCCAGAGTCTAAAATCACCTAGCAGCACCACTTGGTCTCTACTCCCAGTGACTGGTGTAAAGAAGTATTTTACCGTAACTCCTTGCCAACAGAGTCCCAAATTGTAGCCTGTTTATTTTGTCCTGCAGAGGCGCTGGAGATCAAATCCACTCCTGTTATGGGTAGGCTAACCCCTTCTTCATCTGCTCCGTTTGCTGGTGGCCCTGATGCTCCAAACATTTTGGATGTCTCTCTAGACGTGTTGAGCAATGAAACCGCATGGCTGAAACACTGGAAGACAAGAACCTTGGGGAGCCGGATAGCTAAAATGGGATAATACGCTAAGCAGACTGTGTGTTCCAAGGCTACCCCATCAGGAACAGTCTTATGCAATGTAGACAGTCCTGAAGCACAGAAAGATTGATTACAAAGCATCCATGATCCAAAATAATCGTCACAGTCCCTGGTCCAAGTGTCCCATTGGCTTTAGTCTACAGACACAGGCCATTTATCTAATAACAAACACATTTGTAAAAGCACGAATACCTTACACAGATAATTTGCTAGGAGAAGCAGGATGCTAAGTGCATTAGATAATTTGCTCTCCACAGAGAGTTCCTCAAGGCCTAATTGGGATTACTGTACACATTTCTCACAGAGCAGTGAACATCCATCACTGAGGAGACTCAGCCCTCTTCATCCTTTCCCCTGCCCCTGCTGCCCTGCAGCCTTATCCCAAGGGCTATAAAGTCCTTTAACTCCCCCTCTCCTGTGCATTTTGCAAATCTTTTAAGCATAAAAATGGAAACAAAGAAACGTACCTTAAAGATGTGTAGAAAGAACAGGGGGAAGGAGGCGGGGAGGTTTAACAAGTTTCTGAGCCAAACACGTCTTACCACATGGTTTACATTACAGCCCAGTGTATTAAGGCTTTTTAGACCACCGCAAGTTGCAGGTGGAAGTGTTAGTCTGGGAGCCATTGAAGTCTGAACACTGAGCTTCAAACTTTCCCAGTGTATCACAATTACAGAAACATCTGTGCTTCAATAACTTTGTGTGCTGATCTGCTGTGAAAATTTAGTGCTCAGCAGCCGTCCACATTTCTAATTTCTTTGCTGGTCACAGGGTGGTCTCGCAGAGAGCAGCAGCGCCAGAGAAAGCAGAAGCAGAGTCTCAGATAGTTCAAACACTGGCACTTTGTTTTAATTGATGCTTAATGCTCTCCATAGACAGTCATTTTACACAATCTATGGTGTGTGCATGTTTACAGGCAAGGAATAATACTAATACTAATACTAATACTAATACTCCGTTTCCAAACATCCCAAACTCATAAAAAGCTATGGACACAGTGTCCCGGTGACACATATAGGAGTGTGACTGTGTTTAGTTTTATGATGCTACATTTTTACATCCTGTCCAAATTAGTTCAGGTCCTCCAGAGCAAACAAGAATGCTTGTTATGCAATTAATAAAAAGGCGTTTCTCAACGTGGTGTGAAAAGAAGGCAGAATGAGCAAGGCCTTGCAGCTGATAGAACCTTTTCTGGAATTCTTGAAATACAGTCATACCTTGGAAGCCAAACGGAATCTGTTCCGGAAGTCCATTCAACTTTCAAAATGTTTGGAAACCAAGGTGCGGCTTCCGATTGGCTGCAGGAGGCTCCTGCACCTATTCGAAGGCACAGAAGCCAAAGAAGTTCCAATGAACATTCACAAACTGGAACACTCACTTCCGGGTTTGTGGCGTTCGGGAGCCTAAACATGAGTGCCAAAGCGTTCGGCTTCCAAGGTATGACTGTACTGATTTCAAGATATACCGTATTTTTCCGTCTATAAGATGCCCCCATGTATAAGACATCCCCTATTTTGGGGGACTCAGATTTGAGAAAATGGGGGAGATGTATCCATGTATAAGACGCCCCCTAATTTTTGACATTATTTTTTAGGGGGGGAAACCTAGTGTTAGACACGGGAAAATATGGTACTTTCTCCAGATATCTTTCACTGAGATGGCCAAATGAAAAACCATGGGCTGAATCCAGTTGAGTCATTGGCTGAATTCTTGAGTGCAGGTACAATAAAATGTTTTGCTCATGGTATTCGATTTCAGGGTGTTTAGTTTTGTATTGCATTGCATTGTGTCTGCTGGTCTGCTTTTTTTGGGGGGGGGCTCTTTCAGGAAGCAGAGTACACCCTCATCTCACACCACCAATGATGATATGCCACCCTGTTCATGCAGGGCAAAGTAGACCTTGGCCCAACCAACCCTCCTTGTGAATTGTCTGTTTACTGTAGAATACTATTTGGAATCCTTTGCAGTAAGCTGGGGTTTCATGACAGATGTGGAGAGGTTCCTTAGCAGACAAGTCGTTGTGGGAACAATTCCCTGAAAGCAGAAAGTGTGAAAGTCCCACTGATTTGATATATAGGGAACAAGCCAATGTGAAGCTATTAACAGATACTGATGGTGAGGAAGTGGGGGGGGGGAGAGAGAGATATCTGGATCTAAAAAGGATTCTTTGCTTTCCAGCATTTGGTCCCTCTAGCTAAATAGTTTGCCCTAAAAGCAGAACTATGTAGGCTCCTATAGAAGATCAAGTCTCACCAAGGGTTGCCTGCATAGTTACTGTCCAAAAAAAACCCCTCCACAAACCGTCAGCAGATTTATGATGTAGTAAAAACAACGATCATCGGGAGTAACATTCCTCTTTCAAACCGTTTCATTCATCTGACTACAAAGCAAATTGTGATGGATATAATGTTGGTGGGGCGAAGAGGCAGGAGAATTAGCTTAGCGGGGCTTTAGGTAAGTCCCTGCAAGCTGACTGCCACTTGGGCTCCTCTCCCACATGCTCGCGCTCATACACGCTGTGCCAAACTCTCCGCCGTGCTGCTCAAAGCAAACATTGGATATGATGGACAAACACTGCGAGCCCAGATGTGTCCATGATAATCAGCATGAGATCCTAACCCCCTCCCCACCCCCCCTGTTTCCATGCTTTTGATCATGAGGAGTGTTGTCGCTTCTGAGAATCCAAGGGTCTCTGACTGAGAAACAGCAGTAGGGTGTGAGTACAAAAGAAGGAGATGCTGAGATGTGGGGCAGGGCCAAAGGTTCATTAACAATAGCCAAGACCCTGGCTTGGACTACTTCGAAGCTGAGGAGACATTCCGGAATTACCATTGGCTCCCCTTCCTCTTCTCTCTCCCCTTTCTCTCTTTTGACATGGGCTGTCTTTTCTTTTCTTAATATATACACATGTATATACAAGGAATAGCCTGCCGAAAGCCAGCTTTTATCGTGCTCAAAACGATAGCTGGGGGCATGGGAACAAGGATCTGCAGTTAGGCTTAGACCCCATGTCACTACGCCGCTTCATAGTTCTTTCAAGAAACATTCACGGACTCCCTGCCTCCTTAAGAAATGAAGAACTTCAGCTAGACATCATTCCTTTTCCTTTAAAGCCCCTTAGCAAACTTGCCCTTTGCAAAGAGTTGAGAGTCCTCCACTGGTTTCAGCTGCATTTTCCTGCCATTTTCATTGCTGCAAAAGTCCGATCTTGCACTTGATGTTGACTGCTTTCATATTTAACCAGGCTTTGGGTCAGACACACTAGCAGGCAAGGCTGGATGAAAGTGTGTTTGGTATCTGGCCCAACCGGACAGCAGAGGTAATTGTCACATGCACATGAAAGGAGAAGGGGGAAACAGAAAACACTCCAAAATACAGTGGTACCTCGGGTTATAGACGCTTCAGGTTACAGATGCTTCAAGCTACAGACTCTGCCAACCCAGAAATAGTACCTTGGGTTAAGAACTTTGCCTCAGGATGAGAACAGAAATCATGCAGCAGGAGGCCCCATTAGCTAAAGTGGTGCTTCAGGTTAAGAACAGTTTCAGGTTAAGAACGGACCTCCAGAACGAATTAAGTTCTTAACCTGAGGTACCACTGTATTAGAACAAGCAGCATTGATTTCAGGTTTTGTGGAGCCATTAGGAAGGACATTGTCAATGCAAACCCTCCTTTCTTATTACCACCCATTCACTCACCATCATCTCCTGGGCCTAGTCCCACCACTCCCCAGAGAGACAAGCGCTGCTGCTCCTTCTCTTTACCACTTGCTCAGAAAGGGCAGAAGAGCAAGTGGCAATGGGAGAAGCAAGAAGATTAGTGAGTTGCAGTGGGCCCTTTGCTGAAGAGTTGGCCTGGCCAGTTGCCTGACAATGCATACCCAAAACCAGTCCTGGAATAAAGGTTATGTCAGTTTCCTCTATGACTTAGAGACCCAAGCCTTACAAACGTTCAAATGTCAGCATCTATGCTGTGCTCTATGGCAGCTGCTGCCTATGTATCCCTGTACACATTTAAGGTGAGCATTTAAAGTCCCCAACCCTAATCTGTGGGTTGCCATCTGATTAGATTTTACTCTGATTCTGATTTGATTCTAGAATGTATTTTAATTGATTGCTTGATTTTATCTTGATGTGTTATATAATTGATGCTAGCTGCTCTGAGCCCGGTTTTGGCCAGGGAGGGTGGGGTATAAATAAAATCATCTTCTTCTTCTTCTTCTTCTTCTTATTATTATTATTATTATTACACTTAAGATTTTGCCACTGTGAAATAACTTGCTATCTTGGGGTAGGTATGCATCCCATTCTCTAACAACTAGAGCAGCATTTCAGTTCAAACTAACTGTGATGGTAAGAATTTCCTTCAGCCAGTCAGAATCAAGAGGAATGATGCAAAGAACAGACTTTTAACTACTACACCCTACCAAGCAACTGGGATGATTTATTTCTCTACCAGGCTTTCGAGGGGACAATTAGGTGCTGCCATCTCGGTCAAGGAATTAGCATGAGGAACTGCTGCAGATTCCATTTTCCTGTAGGGCCCAGTGCATTACCCAAAAGCCACAGACTGGAAAAATTACAACCTACAAATGGAAAATTGAAAAATATTGAAATCTTACCAAGAGTTTGGAGACTAACATGTCTCTTGGAATGGCTCCTGTGCTGGCAGAAGTGATTGGGCAAAGGTCCCAGTAGCCTATTAATCTCTAGTTGAGAAGCTCACACAGGAGGGCCATTTATGTATTGGGAAAATAAAAAAAGGTTTTATAAACTCAGGTTTGGGACTAATCATGAAGGGATTAAGACCTGCTTTGGATTGTCTATCCAGTCTATCAGAGGAAAGGAGAAATGTTGAGAAGCAGAGTAGTGGGGCATAGTGATGGCTATTAAAGGAATATGGTACAAAAGTCTCATCTTGCCCCCTTTGAATCACAGAATTCATTCATTCTGAATGTGGCATTGTGTGG